GATCTCTCTCATATTCATCTTCTTGTTCCATGTATCTCTGATAATGATCATCAACTATCTGAACAACATTAACTTCATTCTCTCTCACACGATACTTGTAGCGTCTAGCCAGTATCACAAACACTATCAGTATAAGCAACTGGAGGAAGCACACTATTATGAAGTAGTGCAATAAATTTTTAAAATAATGCTGCAGCACAGAAGTTAAAGCATATCCAAATGCTATTGAGGTGTAGCAGAGTCCAACCATCATTCCTCTCATGTGTTCAGGAGACTGTGCTACTGTAAACTCAAAAGAAGTAGGAAGAATAAGAAAAAAGGAAATTCCAAAGAGTACTTGCTGAATGATTAGTAGTGAATCATATGGGGGATAAATTTGCATTAATAACTGAACTATGCATCCAAGTAAAGCAAAGAGGAGTCCAACACCCATTCTAGTAAGCATACTGGGTATATACTTGTGAAAGCAACCACGAATGATGAACTGATAAATGAAGAATAGAAGTGCAATTGTAATAGGATAAGCATCAATGAACGTAATCATGATACAATCCACTAATGACTCTTTCGTGCAAATACCATCAGAAATATTTGCAATGAGCCCAAACCCAAGGATAGCAATCAATAATGGTAGCATACGAAAGAATGTCTTCACATCTTCTACCTCTTCCTCTGTGAATGGTCCACCATATTTATCCTTACCCAGGTCTAATCTTGAAGGAGCCTCTTCCTCCCAGTAGGTCAGAGCACTACGGTTCTCAGGATACTTGTGCTTCCTGGCATAACACAATACTCTAACTATCAGTTTGATGGGATTCTTGATCAGTGATATATTCTCCAGTTTGTGTTTAAATAATGAATGAGATACCAGTATAAGAGACAGTGCTACTCCTATTACTATAAAAAGGACTAACTCTGCAGTAACAATGCCAAGCCTAGCATCAAGTAGTCGTAACCAATCTCTCAAAATGTATGCAACTGGTAAAGCAGCAATATTCCAGTATATTATAGTACTCAGTTCATTAGCTGATCCTCCAATTAACTGATCAATATTGTACTGGATTATATTAGCATTAAAAGCAATGACACCAATATAGTTAATAACAACTCCAGGAACAATCCAAATCTTCCCCAGAAGACTGTAGCTGTTCAATGTATAGAAAGTTCCAGTTACAATCCATGATATGAAGCAGAGTATAATACCAGTTGTTATTGCTCTGTATCTTCCTATGTATACATCAGTTAGTAGTCCAGTGAGAGGATAAAAGATATAGCAAACTAAAGGAATATAATTTGCCAATTTTCCTATGATACCACTAACAAACATAATCAGATAATACTGAATAGTCATCAGATACACCCAAACAAGAACCATAATAACAGGAAAAGACATGCTAGGCACTACATAGACTCTAGCCCTTGATAGAGCCATTGCTATCTCCTCCTTCATTTCTGTAGAGGAGGCAGGTGTAACCAGTTTACATTAACAATTACATGATTGAGTGATTATATACTTATATGGAATACAATTTACTACTGTTATTGTTAAATGTTTGCAGTTTTTACTATAGTACTCAAAATTGTACTAGATCTACCGTAATTATTGTCATACCAAGTATAAAAATTAATTACTAATAATCATTATTTATATAAGCAAAAAATTTATATCCAATATAGTCTAATTATACATTTTACTGATTAATGTTCAATTATTATTATTTCACTCTCAGGAATTTCTTGATGTCTGTTATATTCATCTTCTTGTTCCATGTATCTCTGATAATGATCATCAACTATCTGAACAATATTAACTTCATTCTCTCTCACACGATACTTGTAGCGTCTAGCCAGTATCACAAACACTATCAGTAGAAGCAAATGGAGGAAGCACACTATTATGTAATAGTACCATGCTTTAACAAAATGTGACAGCATAAAAGCACAAGAGTACCCAATTCCAAATGAAAAATAACATAGTCCAACCATTATTCCTCTCATATATTCTGGAGATTGTGCTACTGTAAACTCAAGTGAAGTAGGAAGAATAAGAAAACATGATGTTCCAGTAAGTACCTGCTCAACTAACAACAAAAAATCATACAAAAGAAACTTTTGAGCTAATACTTGAGTTATGCAACCAAGTAAAGCAAAAGCAATACCAGCACCCATTCTAGTAAGCATACTGGGTATATACTTGTGGAAGCAACCACGAATGATGAACTGATAAATGAAGAATAGGAGTAGGACAGTGATGTGATATGTACCATAATCTTCGAACATTAAACTGTGTAGATCTACTGAATATTTTTTTCTGTGATCTCCACGAGGAACCCAAATATGAAGAAGGACAGAAGTAACCTCAAATGTAGCTATTAGTATCAATGGTAGCATACGAAAGAATGTCTTCACATCTTCTACCTCTTCCTCTGTGAATGGTCCACCATATTTATCCTTACCCAGGTCTAGTCTTGAAGGAGCCTTTTCCTCCCAGTAGGTCAGAGCACTACGATTCTCAGGATACTTGTGCTTCCTGGCATAACACAATACTCTAACTATCAGTTTGATGGGATTCTTGATCAGTGATATATTCTCTAGTTTGTGTTTAAATAATGAATGAGATACCAGTACAAGAGACAGTGCTACTCCTGATGCTATGACATTAAAAAGTTCATAGTTAAGTAGCCATAACCAGTCACTTAGAACTAATCCAACTGGTAGAGCAGCAATATTCCAGTATATAATAGTACTCAGTTCATTAGCTGATGCCCCAATTAACTGATCAATATTAAACTGAATGACATTATTGATGAAGCTTACACAGCCAGTGTATTGAAAAAGGGCAGAAGCAATCCATAGTTTGGGATTATAGTAGTTGAATGCAAACGCAGCTCCAGTTACAATCCATGATATGAAGCAGAGTATAGTACCAATCACTATTGCTCTGTATCTTCCTATGCATACATCAGTTAATAGTCCCAGGAAGATGTAAAAAATGAAGCAAAAAAGATAACCTGAAATAATAACAAAAGAACTTTTAATGACGGCTTTATTATACGAATGAAACTGAAGGTAGAGTTGAAGATTCATGAGGTAATTCCAGACAAGAACCATAATAGCAGGGAAAGACAATACAGGAAATACATAAACTCTAGCTCTTGATAAAGCCATTGTTTTACTGTAGGAAAGAAAAACTAAGTGTTTACGTTGCTGTGTGCTTTTTGATTACCATATGTCAGAAAAAGTACAATTGCCCCATTACCAGACAATGAAACAGAAAATGAGCAGCTGACAATGAGAAAAGTTATCGATAGTTGAGTTTAAAGTATACACAAGATGATTGGATCTGCAGCATTTAACTTTGTCATGAGTAAGGTCATTTCTTGATCAAAATGATTTTAATCTACTGCAGCTTTAAGCCTTGTTAATACCGCCATAAAACGCAATGCAAATGAACGCAATATCAAATTTTGGCCAATTTTGCATCAACTTCAAAGCGTTTTTGTGTCAATGCCTACCAATTTTTTATCATTTTGTCAAATGTAAACCTATATGAAGTTTAAATTCAAATTTGATTTAATTTTAGTATTTTTAAACGACAAACGATAGAAAAAAAATAGACTGAAACACATTATTAATAGTCATGTACTAAAACTGTTTGTAATTAATTCTCTCATTATTAGTCCTTAAAACAACAAACAACAAACAAATTCAATAATAATAATAATCATAATAATAACTAATTATCATTATTATAATAATTACTGCTGACTGGCAATAACACTAATAATAATAATAATAATAATAATAATAATAATAAAGGTGGGTACTATTATTTTTAAAGTTTCTTTCGTTGCTCATTTCTTACGGCGGATCCTGACTAGTTCTTCATGAAGTTGCTCTAATTCCTTTTGTTTTGCAACAATCCTTGCCTGTGCTTCTATCTCACGCTTCATCTTAACAACCTCGCTAGTTGGACCTTTCTCATTCTAAATTGTAACAAAACATCGATTATAATTGGTGCATTAATAGTAAAGTACTGTATAAAATTTAAGAAATGACAATGAAAATTCTTCAATTTTTAATCCAATTCATTTACTAAAGGCCCCATACACTAGGCAACATGTTGCTAGCAACGTTTGTGGTTACTTTGATCTTGTAAGCAACATGTTGCCAGAAATAGAAGGCTGTTCTATTTCTGGCAACATGTTCCTTACAAGATCAAAGTAACAACAAATGTTATAAGCAACAAGTTGAATGTCTTAAGATTAATAGTGACTCTCTCATTACAGAGAGAGAATTCTGTAGAGGGGGGTACTCCTGTAGCTATTAATGTAGCTTACGGGTCCAATTGATCTTCCAAAGGCATCAACTGATCTTTCCTTTGCACTATCAACTGAGTCTTGAGCTGCCTTCACAAGTGCCTCTGTAGCTTTCTTAACCTGCTGACCAGCTCTCTATTGATATAAATAACAACAACAACAATAATAACAACAACAATAACAACAACAACAACAATAATGCTTTTATATTCCCTATTATCTCTTAAAAGTCTCCCTTTTCTCTCCCATTCCCCAGTTATCCTTTACTTGTAGCCTCTTGTTATTCTCAGAGTGGGCATCAGCCTTAACTTGAGCAGCATGAAGGAGCTGTACGGTAGTAGCAGCAACTGCTTTAGCAGCTCCAATGAGCCTTCCTTCCTGAGCATCTCCTTCACCTTGAACAACATCATTAGCTGCTTCACATAGCTGACTAGTGGACTCAGCTACTAACTTGGCCTGTGGATAAGAGAGAGACAGAGAGAATAGTACATAGGAAATGATTTTACAAGCAGTAATAATAATAATAATAATAATAATAATAATAATAATAATAATGATAATATAAATATACAACTGATTGCGAAATTTTCACTTCTAAATAACATAAATAATTATAAATGTACTGAAAACATAGCATGAAACTTTTTAACACTAATTGAAAATAAATGAATAAGATGATAAAATGCTTACAGCAGACACGAGTCCATCAGACCACTGACTATCAGCAGGGACAGTTCCAAGGGAGACCTTCCCTTGCTCTGTCAGTTCACGTTGTGTGGCTCTAGCCGACTGTACCAGACTCTTAGTGGCAGCTGCAATACTCTTGGCAGCCTCAAGAATCTGAGCATCAAAACTGAGATTAGCATCAGCAGTCTAGAGGAAGGGGGAGGGGGAGAGAAAGTTAGTGAAATAGCATAACAACAATGATAATGTATAATGTGGAATTCTATATCTGTACAATAATTAATAGCAACAATAGCTAAAACTATATCTAAAATTTAGATATTATGTTCAAAATAGCTTGGAAAAACTGGATTTGCATAACTTCTATGCACCATTATTTTATCAAATTTTTAGTAATTTCCTAAAAATTTATCCTTTC